CAACCACTCTCCTCCTCCTTATCTCCTCCCCTCTTATTCAAACAAGAAATAATAATAATAATGTTGAATGGCTGAACCAGAATCAATGTACGAATCCCTCTTCTACTGCAGGTATCACATGAGGTCCACCATAGCCATGGCCACCCTTCCTCCTCCTTCCTCCAAGGCCGAGGCTATGGTGGACTACCAGGGCATTGCCCTGCTGTCACAGCTGTGCAAGGACAACACAAAGCAGCTATGGCTGCTCTTGTTCAGGCCGCCATGGCTGACTCTGCCTCGAAGCTTCTTGGTGCAGCTGTACCCCAGCAAGGCCTTCCAGATGCAGCGTCCACCAAGGTGATGAAGATGGCGTAACATAGCCAGGGCGCTCCCCCTTCCTAGTCCTGGTCTTCTTCCTCCTCCTATCCTTGCTCCTTCCCCAGCAGCGCTGCTCTGTGCTAGCGCTGCTCCAGCCAGCGCTCCAACCAGTGTGTCGCCATACTTGCACACCGACAACGAGGAGGAGCACTTTGCTCCTCCTGGAGATATAGCGGCCTGCTTGCCTCTTGGCGAGTGACTTCCTACATAGGCCGCGCGGCCTCCAAGCAACCGTTACCTCCTCCCATTCTGAGGGAAAGTTGGGAAACATCATTGCAGACTCTGATATTGCCCGTACCAGCCCTAGACTCAGACTGGTTGGATTGGTACCCACCTAGACCTAGCCTACAACTGCTGGGCCTCTAAAAGTGCCAACTTTGTCTTCTTCTGCTCGGCCTCGAGTACCCGGCACATCTACCTCTTCTTGGTGTGGTAACGGCCTACCTGCTACTTGAGTGTTTTTCCGCTGCTCCAAGTGTCGTGGGGCCTCTTTCCCCCCCACTTGAGTGTTTTCCCCACTGCAATCCTCAATGTCACAGCCACAGGTAAGTACCGGCCCTTTGGGCCGTCCGCACGGACAAGTACCCTTGCGGGTCTTACACACACTCAAACCGACGAGCACTCAGACAGGCATGCAGACCAGCAAGCACGCACACACTCAGACTTAGGAAACTCAGCAACAAGCGGAAAAGTCAGTAAGGCATACATTCCATCGGCAAAACTCAGAAATCAGCTGTGTGTCTCAGTCCGTGTTTGGCAGGTCTTAACACATATGTTGTTACGTGATATCAATGAAGCAGTGACAATTGACCTGTTACCCTAGATTCAGAGTGGTCAATGACTCACACAGATTTAGACAAGTATTATGAACAAGTTTACTCAGTGCTACAACAATAATATGCGCTCAGGAGTCGTGAACATAGTATTAGTTCTTGAACTCCATGCCATTCTTTCTTTCCATTTTCTTTTTCGTTTCCTTTGTTTTGTGGATGCCTGGGCAGAGACTGGGAGGTAACCGCTTGGAATACCGTTTTCTCTGATCAAGTTTTCAGGGCATCACAGTTCTGGAGTACTAGCATGAAGCAGCATGTCGCCTTAATACTTCAAGGCCAGCAATGATAACTTCTGCAACAACAATCCAACTTGGAGTCTGGGACCACTTTTTTTTTTCCAAACATTGTGTACTCCACATTCGAAATTACTCGCTAACCCCCAGACACTAGGCGGGAGTTGTCTCCATGTCGTAGAATGTAATGATTGTAAATTTGTAATCTTTTTTTTCTTTTTTTTTTAAATAAAAAAACAGAACCTTATGGTTCTGGCTCACACACACACACTTTCCTCTCCATTCTGTGGAGCGTCAGTCCAGTTCCTATTCCAACGGCAAGTCAAAAGGGAATAGAACTGATACTCACATTCGCTCCTCCCATTATGGTCCAGAGGCTTGATTGGACGGCATCGATTACTTCCCTTGGGAAGGATGTATCACCCCTCAGCAGATTGGGGTTCTGACCCATACATACTCCTCTAGCTACGAGGCTGTCAGATTTGCTTGGACAACTAGAGCATTGCAGGGCTTTTGTCTTTTACCTTCATTAGGTAGGCCTTCTAGAACCCTACACCCTAGACTGACCATCCTTCTGTCTCTGCCGGTTGCTCTGTAACTTGCATTAAAGGAACCACGATTGCCCCTTTTTTCTAGGTAGGTGTGTGAGTTTCCTATCTCGTGCCCGTCGACAAGCTTGTGACGTGGGACCTACTTCTAGGCATCTCTAAGATCTGTGGTTAGGATAGTCTGTTGTGTCTCCATTGCTCTCTAAGGCCTTGTCCCATCCCCCCTGGCGGGCTATGATCCCGCATTCGAATTCAAACGGGGGATTCCCCTCCCTGCACACAAACTTGGAAGCCCCGCCATCGTCATCAACCTGTCCGTCGTCATCAACCTGCCCGTTGTCATCGACCTGCCCGTCACCATCGACCTGCCTGTCACACATCGTCATCGACCTAGCCCTACCCCGTCGTCATCCACGTGCCCTCCGCGCATAGCCGACCTCCTCCTCCTCCTAGCGCAAATCTCCCATCGCGCTGCCCGTCGCCGAGCTGCCACGTCGTTGACCTGCCCATCATTGAGGTGCCGACCTCCTCGTGCGGAGCTCCTATCGCGCCGCCTGTCATCGAGCTGCCACGTCGTCGTCGAGCTGCCCATCGTCGAGGTGCCGACCTCCTCCTCCTCCTCGCGTGCAGCCGTCCTCCTCCTCCTCTCATCTTCTTCTTCTTCACTCCTCTTACTCGTCCTCCTCATTTCAACTTCTTCTTTTCTCTCCTCCTCCTCCCCTCGTCTTCTTCTTTGTCTATCGTCCTCCTCCTCATTTCGTCTTCTTTTTTTCTCTCTTCCTCCTCCTCCTCCTCTCCTCTCGTCTTCTTCTTCTTCTTCTCTCCTCCTCCTCCGCCTCCTCTCGTCTTCTTCTTCTTCTCTCCTCCTCCTCTCCTCATTTCGTCTTCTTCTTTTCTCTCTTCCTCCTCCTCCTCCTCTCCTCCTGTCTTCTTCTTCTTCTCTCCTCCTCCTCCTCTTGTCTTCTTCTTCTTCTCGCCGCCTCCTCATTTTGTCTCCTTTTCTCTCCTCCTCTTCCTCTCGTCTTCTTCTTCTTCTTCTCTCCTCCTCCTCCTCCTCCTCCTCATTTCTTCTTCTTCTCTCCGCCAGACACAACCGGCAACTCCTCCTCCTCCTCCTCCTCCTTCTCCTCTTCCTCCTCTCGTCTTCTTCTCCTCTCTCCCTCTTCCTCCTCATCATTTCATCTTCTTCCCTTCTCTCCTCCTCCTCCTCCTCCTCCTCCTCTCGTCTTCTTCTTCTTCTCTCCTCCTCTTCCATTGGCCATTTTTTTTCTTTTCTCATCATCGCCATACACAAATGGCAGCTCCTCCCCCTCCTCCTCCTCCTCCTCCTCTTCCTCCTCCTTGTTCTTCTCTCCTCCTCCTCCTCCTACTACTACTACTCTCGTTTTTTCGTTTCCAAGTCTGCTTCTTCTCTCTCCTCCTTACCTCTCCTCCTCCTTCCTCCCCTCCTCCTTCCTCCCCTCCTCCTCCTCCTACTCTCGTCTTCTTCTTCTTCTTCCCCTCCTCTCGTCTTCTTTTTCTTCTTCCTCCTCCTTTCATCTCCTCCTCCTTTCTTGATCTTCTTCTTCCTCCTCCTCCTCCTCCTCCTCCTCCACCATATCTTACCGCCCGGAATCTCGCACATTCGCCAGCCATATTGGACGGTCTGCCATATCCCACTGCCCGCCATCTCCCATTCCTCTTTTTTTTCTGCCCCCAAAAGAGAAGGGAAGCGGGCAGACTGCAGCTCTTCTTCTTCTTCTCTCCTCCTCCTCCTCCTCCTCCTCCTCCACGTACTTTCGTCTTCTCCTTCTATCCTCCTCGTCCTCCTCCCCATCCTCCTTCATCGTCCTCTTATTATTATTATTATTTTTTCCCGTCATCTCCATGCACGACCACTGGTCCTCCTCCTCCTCCTCCTCCTCTTGTCTTCTTTTTCTTCTCTCCTCCTCCTCCTCTTCCTTTCGTCTTGTCCTTCTCTCCTCTTCCTCTCATCTTCTTCCTTCTTCTTCTCTCCTCCTCCTCCTTCACCTACTTTTGTCTTCTCCTTCTCTCCTCCTCCTCCTCCTTGTCCTCCTTCATCGTCCTCTTATTATTTATTTATTTTTCCGTCATCCCCATACACTATCGGCAGGTCCTCCTCCTCCTCCTCCTCCTCCTCTCGTCTTTTTTTTTTTCTCTCCTCCTCCTCCTTTCNTCTCCTCCTCCTCCTTTCGTCTCGTCCTTCTCTCCTCCTCCTCCTCCTCCTCCTCTCGTCTTCTTCTTCTCTCCTCCTCCTCCTCCTTTTGTCTTGTCCTTCTCTCCTCCTCCTCCTTTTGTCTTGTCCTTCTCTCCTCCTCCTCCTTTTGTCTTGTCCTTCTCTCCTCCTCCTCCGCCTCCCCCTTTATTCTTCCCTCCTTCTCCTCCTCCTCCTTTCGCCTGTTTCGTTTTTCAAGTCTCCATTTCTTTTCTCCTCCTTTTCTCTCCTTCTCCTTCCCTCCTCCTCTTCGTCTTCCTCCTCCTCCTTTCGTCTTCTTCTTCCCTCTTCCTCCTCCTCCTCCTCCTCCATATCTTACCGCCCACCATCTGGCACATCCGCACGGACTTCTACTACTTCTTCTTCCGATATTGCTACTTTCGTTTGTCCCTCGGTGTTGGTCATTGCACCCTCTACTCTGACGGCATTATGGCGGGCCGTGGCAGTGACCTCCAAAGACCCCTCACGGTTCTTCGCTCTGTGTGTGTGTGTGTGTGTGTGTGTGTGTGCACGCCCGCGCGCGCGCGCGCGAGAG